AACTCAAAGGCACTGTTTTTAAAAGGCATTGAGTTATTTTTCAAACAGAATTTGAAGTGAAGTTTTTCTAAGTGGATGCCACTTCTATATTTTTTTTCCATTTCTCTAAATAAATGTGTTTATAATGTTTCAAAAGATATTTAGTGTGTGCAACAGTTTCACGAAAGAAGAATATTTTCTCCAACATCCCCATCTGCTGGCTTAGAGAAAAAGTAGATTTGTATCTGTTATTTCTTTAAATATTTTTATAATTTATCTTACGGAATTGAAATATAAAATTATTAAATTATTTTAAAATAGACTAATAGCAATTTGTCAAAGTCAATCATGAAAAGAAATAGAAAGGAAAGATTTTGAAGAGGACACTTAATCCTTAAAAGTTTTCATTCCAGGGTCCCCTGGGTGGCTCAGTCGGTTAAGCAGCCGACTTAGGCTCAGGTCGTGATCTCTCAGTTTGCTGGTTCAAGCCCAGCATGGGGTTCTGTACTGGCAGCTCAGAGCCTGAAGCCTGTTTCAGATTCTTTGTCTCCCACCCTCTCTGCCCCTCCCCCACTCATGTTCTGTCTCTTTCTGTCTCAAAAATAAACAAACTATAAAAAAAAACTTTTGTAACGTTTTCATTCTATAGCTCTATGGGATCAAATACTCATGTTTATAGTATTTGACAGTTTTATTTGAAAGAAATTTTAGGAATGAGCACAACAACAGTTTATTAAATTTTTGATAGTGTGAAAATATTTAGTATTTTCCTAAAATCTGTCTTGTTAAATTATATAAAATAAGTGGTGTGTACACATATGCCCAAATCAGATTTATTATTTTACAAAAAATTTTAGTTACTGTAATATATTGCTTTTGTATAAGAACTATTAGAATATCTTTATATCCTCATACTAAGGTTCTTAGAGAAGACCACAGCGGCCAGTGCACACTGAAGTCCTACAACATTTTGAAAACTATTCAAAACTATTCAAAAGAGAATAGAAGAAAAATGTTAGAAGAAGACATGAATTTCTATGAGAAAAGTATTCATTTATTCCCTAACAACTAGAAGGCACTCAATATATATTGCAAAAAGGGAAGGAAGGGAGTAGAGAGGGAGGAAAGAAGGAGGAAAAGAAGGAAGGGAAAGAGAGAGGGAGGGAAGGAGGGAGGAAGGAAAGGAGGGGGGAAAGGGAGGAATTCTTGAGGCCCATCACTAGTCTGAACTGTTGAACAGATCCGACGCTAGTCTTCATTTTTTTCTTTTTTTTCTGGTTTTATGGTTTGTATTTTCTCATATTAAAGGCTTATGTGTTAACAGTTTTCAGGGGAAAAAAGTCTTAGTACTATCTCTAGTTAAGAAGAAAGAGAATGAGGAAAGAAAAGGGGGAGGGGGGAGGGGAGAAAGAGAGCAAAAGAAAGAATTGGAAAGCCCTCCTTAGGTCCTCAGGTACCCATGGAAACAAATGGGAACAAACAAGTACTTTTGTCATCCCGCTGTGACTGTGAAAGAGGAAGATGTGGGAGTTCAGTGCACAGTCACTTTACCCAGCTCACAATATAATGACTTCATTTCATTTGCATAACCTTAACCCATTTGGTGGATCTTGCTGGATCCTTAAATCAGTGTCAACCTAGACATTCCAAATAAGTGCCTTCATCTCAGGACTAAAATTAAATTAGTAGACTAATTTTTTTCCTACTTTGAAATTATATTACGAAGTCATAAAACCCCACTTTCTTAACATATAAACGCAACTCTATGAGAATTTTACAGTTTAACTAGGCGAAACAAGAAGCTACTCTATGAACATTGACTGATGATACATATTTTAATAATGGAGTTAAGTTGAATTTCTTAGATTTCTGGTGGAAATGAGAGAAAGCCATTTTGGTTTTAGCTATCACCATATTTGATGCTGTTTCCACTTCACATAGTAAAGGATCATGGACTCCCCTGACAGAAGAGGCAAGTCAACTAAGGCTAAGCATTGGAGAAAAACTTGGAGCAGCATTTAAATGATCGAGACTGATCTTCACAAATTTGATATTCAAGATTTCCATTCATTTCTTGACTGCTGACTTCATGATTGCAGTTTCCTTGAGCATAAAAGAGTTAAACTAATTTTACCTTTTCTGTTGTCCCTGGAAAAATGAAAAGAAATGAAGAAGGACACAAACATTCCATTTCATTTTACAATCTCTAGATTGTGAAATTCCTAAGGGAATGAAGAAACAGAGTCACAAAATATGTTATTTGCGCAATGAGTCAATGTCAACTCCAGAAAATTCTATACAATGTGTTTCTTTTGTGTAACAGTCCCTCACTAGTTCTCTTTAGCAATGAGTAAGATTACTTACAACATGGGAGCAGCACATGCCAAACTTGAAAACACATTCAGTTCTTTACCATAATTTGTTTTAGTGTCTTAGAATAATGGATGGGAGAGTAATTTTGGGATATGGAGACATACATTTTTATTTCAGCTTCATTTTCTGAGAAAAACAAAAAAATCTGTGCAAAATGTTGATTTTATTTTCCCAGTTTCTCAGATGCATGGTCAAACAAATTAAATTGCGTGTGTGTGTGTGTGTGTGTGTATGTGTGTGTGCTTTCAATGAAAACCATGTGCCATGGATGTATTCATTTTGTGGAAATTCATGGAGTTATATATGTATTTAATATACATATTCTGTATGCATATCTTACTTCGATAAAATTTATATTAAAAATAAATCTACTCAAAAATATTGAGACTGAGGACCTAACTTAATTAAAATCTAAACTAAAAATAATCTTTAATCTTTACAAAGCCTCAACAGTCATTCAATACCTCTTAGAATCAAGGAATATTCATTTTGTTCAGTGGACATATCTGTCATTTTCTCACTCAGGCCCTCTCATTATTTTCATCAATGAGTGAACTTTTCCAACACTGACCATTTTCCCAAGTATACCTGTCAATTACTTTCACCCTATATTAAAAATCTACACACTTGCAATAATCATAGCCCTTAGTTTCATTACTTTCACAGCATTTTCACACTAGTATACAATCACATACAGTCATATACTTAGCACAGGCATAATGTTATTAAACTCCTAATTCAGGAGAAAAAAAATTGAAACTTGATATCAAAACAAATAAATAACCTAAATCTGGTAGGTCAATAGGTCAAATATAAAAACCTTCAACAATTAAACTCCAGTAGTTTCTTTGTATGTGTACATGTACTAAAGTTCTAACTATACTTAATATTTTTCCACGGAGTTTTTTTTAAAGCTGCAAATCCACTTTAAGACTCTGTCTCTCTCTCTCTTCTTGCACCTCCCCCCCACCCCGGGCTTTAGTTTCTTTTCTCACTTGTTTTTAACATTAAACGTATATCTACATTTAATATATACACTTAATTTAGATAGATGATAGATAGATAGATAGATGATAGAGATAGATAGAGATAGATAAATATAATATTTATATTTAATAGATAGATATAGATAGCACTGAAACCTTCTTAAATAGGTTCTTTATAAATAATTGGCTTGTAGACACCTAATACAACCAAAATAATGCCCCTGTTCTATCAGTAAAGGAACATCGTTTCATTTCTTCAGCCGTGGGATGGTAGTTTCAAAATGAGTTGATGATGTTCCTGATATGCCGTAATCAAGCTAACCCATCGACTCTATGATTAAGGATTAGTATGGGAACTGAGATGGCAATCAGTTTGTCTAATGTGGGAACACTGCAGTTGGGCTTTTCCCGGGGTAATTTTCCGCTAGCTCCTTTACACCGAAGCTAAAGTGGAAGGTGGGCCATCCGCAACCCACCCCTCCAAACTGTTAACGATGAAATAAAAACCGAGGACATTAAGGCAGGAAAGAGGCTCCCCAGCCGGTAGGCAGGAAATGATGGCAGCTGCTGGAAGGGGCAGGAAGGTTCAGTGGCGGCGGCGGCGGCACTGCCCACGCCGTCGCGGGGGGGCGGGGGGGGGGCGCCAGGACTCGAGCCCGCGAGCCCTTGCACCGAACCCGTTTAACTGCTTGGGTTCTAATACTTTGTCCTAAGCCGTGCTAGAGCCTCGTCGCGCGTCCGGGAACCCTGCGCCGAGCGCTGGGGCCAATACGCATAACTGCAAAGACTAAAATGGCTGATCAGCCACTTCTTCGGGCTTCCAAACTCGGCGGGCTCCAGCAGCGGTCAGGTCCCTCTGCTCTCGCCGCCGCGGCTGGAGCCCCGCGCCCGGAGAACAAAGCGCGCCCGGCCGGCGAACCGACCGCGGCGCCCGCGGCGGAATCGCCCCCTTCAACTTAGGCTGAAGCTCTACAGAGCTGTGAGAAATGGACAGCGCTCCCCCTCCACCCCTACGCGACCCAGCCGGGCCCCGGGCCTGCGTCAGTCCCGCTCCTCGCCGCGCCCCTCGGGTGGGCGTTACGTAACAGCCCCGAACCCAACTCCAGGACCATCTTAACAACTTGTCCCGTCGAGGTGGGGGATAGGGGGCCCCCGGGGTCCATACGAGGAATCCGAGCTGGGCCTGTGGATTTCAATCCCGGGCCAGGAGAGGCGTGTAGCTGCCGGGGCAGGCGGCCGGGCTCGGGCAGTCCCCGTGGGACCTATCCGGCAGCTCGACAGCGCGCCCAGGAAAACAGCGCGTTCTCTGTGGTCAGGGTACCACCACGAGCTCGTGGGGGGGGGGGGGGCGGGGGGAGCGGAAGAACAGGAGGGCCTCTCTTGGAACATCCAAGACTAGAACCCCCGACCCCAAGGAAGCCCCCTCCAGCTCCAGTCACCACCCCACCTCCCTAGTGCGCACACTCTTCAATGCTTTTCGGTCCCTCTTCAGCAACCACCCCCCCCTCGCCAGCGGGGGTCCCCGAGATTGCAGCCACTTTCTCCCTACGCCGTCACACGCACGCGCGTGTGCAGTCACTCACACCCACACACCACCCCACACTCACACTCGCGGGCGCTCCGCGGGCGGCATCCAAAGAAACATGAATATTCATTACTTACAAGCATTGGTGACTGCGAAGCTGTTTGCTACCTCCAAATTGTCGATGTGGGGAGTCAGTCTGAACTCCGAAGTGGAAAACTGAACCATCCCTACCCGAAATGCACTGTATTCCTGATCGGCGCCCCTGGGAAATAGCCCCCCTGCAAAGAACAAACACCAAGCAGGAGAACAGTGTCAGAGCCAGAGAAGGGAAGGAGGGGAGCCCAGCAGCTCCCAACAGCCCAGGAGTCTCTTATTCACGCTAATAGGCCGAATAAACACATCAAGGGACTCGGGAAGCCGGGAGCTGATGTCCAAATGGTAGCTAAAGGGTCAAGACACAGATGAGAGAGTCTGAGGGCAAGATAGGTGGCCAGAAACGTTAGCCTTTCCTGGTAATCACAAGCTTTGCATTCAGACCGTCTAGAAAATCTGAACAAACAGGAAAATGTTGTTTAAGACAGAATTAATATAATTTGGAGATCAGAAAGGAGAACACCTTTTCCTCTTTTGTACCAAACCCATTATACATGCTAAGAAAACCATGTATATTCTAGGCAGTTTAAATCTGGAATGCAGTCAAGGTATGACATAAGTCTACATGACATGAATTAATTTGTCCACTATGAACAAAGATTACCACCAAATTATGCACAATTCAAAAGCAGAGCACAAAGGGTACCTACCTATCTGTATGCTGTTAGAAGAGACACCAAAAATCAGTCCCCATAAAACAGGAGAAAGGAGGGCAGATATATGCATAATCTTTTGCATTTCCAAGAAAAGTAGATCATCCACAAAATACCCCCCCCTTTTTTTTTTCCTTTTCCTCCTCTTCCTTCTTTGGCGGTTTTCCTCAGCAAATTAGATCCTCTGCATTTTGAGACAGCAATTTAGCACCCAAGCTGCTAAAAACCTGAAGTGGAGGCAGAAGAATTCCTATTTCCCAGGTCCTGCTGGTGGCTGCTGATGCCCTGCGCCCTGTCCCTGCTTCCGAAGTCCGGAGGACTGGCTGGGTGCAGTTTTCAGCGGAGCTGCCGCTGTGGGTCCAGTGTCTTGGAATATTCAGCACCCTCCCATGCACTCACACACACTCACCCTCTCTCGCGCTCCCTTCTCCCTCTCCCCTCTGTCTCACACACACGCGCGCGCGCGCGCGCGCACACACACACATACACACACACGCAAGTCACAGAGGAGCAGGCAGTCCCGGGCGCGCGTGCGCGACTCGCGGCAGGCGGCTGGCGCGCGCGTCCAACCCCTCCCCCGCACCCCGCACCCCGCACCCCGCACTGCCCTGGCAGCGTCGCGTGCGCCGCGCTGAGAGCCGGGCCGCCGCTAGCCCTAGCTCGGGTCTCGCGAGCTGTCGCGCCCACCGAGCGCTTCTGCCTTTCAGCACCGAGGACAGCGACCCGCTCCTAGCCTCGTGCTACCCTGTGTGCAGCCGCTGCAGCCGCCGCTGAGATGCTCCAGCCTGGACCAAACGCAGCAAAGCTGATTTCCGGCTGCTGTGCAGAAGCCGAATTGCTAATTGTCGCCGGTGAAGCGTTCCCTCACCAGGCCCTGCTGTTTTACATTGAAAGTAATTTTTAGTTTCATTTTCTATAACCTGTGAAAACTCACCTAGCAATATAGAAACACTATTATACACCTTACCTGACCCAGCCAAAAGCAAACAAGAAAACAAAATACCCATCGAAGAAGTGTTCCAAAATTGTGAAGTTTTGCCAAATGTGAGGTAGCCAGCACCCAGAGAAAAAAACAAAATTCTATCTTTAAAGGCTAACACCGAGGAGATACGAGGAGATCAAGATAGAATTTTTGAGATACTTTGCATGGATATCTCATCTTTAGAGTGTATTCCACTGGGTCTTCATGCCAACTTGCAGAGCCAGATGAGTGCAGGTCTCGCAGACTTCACTGCAGATTCCCTCCCATAGTAAAGACATGTAGACTTGGCTCCTAAGAAGAAGCCCTTTCTTTATTGAAAGCAAAAGACTCTGTTTGAAGGAAAGGCTCACAGGAGAAAGAAATTAGAAGATTAAATAAATCTAAAAGGCTACCGAGCTGCAGAATCTTTCCCAGGGATTTGGTGAGAAACCAAATATTCCACCGCGTTTTGACTCTGAGTTTTAAGAAATCACTGCTCAAAAAAAAATAAAATAAAATAAGTTTCATCACTTTAAACCCACGAGCTCAAGATCACTGGGAAAGAAAAGGTGAGGTTTGGGATTAGAAGTTTGTGGGAAGAGAGCTGATGAGATGATGGAAGACTAGACGTCCCCCTGAGGAATTTATGCACTTCACAAATGCCAAGCAGATGCCTGGGAACCTACTCTGGCAATTCTTTCTGCTGCCTCCGAAATTCCTAAGTTTTACGATTTTCTTTTGTTTGTTTGTTTAAACAGAAATAAAGGAAGGTTGAGTACAAGGGACAATTTCCAGAAGGCAGGAGATTGGAGCCCACAAAACTAAAGGAATAACTTGCTAATATTTCAGAATGTGAAAAGAGCTGGTCTATCATGCTGCCTTCCTATGCAATTACTGCATTAATATCATTCCTACAGCCTCTTTGTTGACTGTTATCTCATACTTTATCATTCCAGGCCTTGATTTCCCCACTTTAGAAATGAGAAAGATGGTCCAAGTAGCCTCGATGGCTCTCAAATCTTATAATTCTGTGATATCAAGTTATGATCTTTCACTGCGTTTGATTTTAGATATTTATTCCTAAGCCAGGTGCTAAATAGCCACAATCTATTTTCAGTTTATTTACTACAGGTAAAAATACCTCCTGGTTTTATCACCAAGAATTTGTTTTAGTCTGTTAATGAACAACTCGCTATATGTAAAATAGGCCTGTGAATTAAAATGCATTTAGCTTTTTAAAAATCAAATGAGACTAAAAAGAGTAAAAGAGATATAAATAAAAATATATCCATTTACAATATAAAGACTAATTAAATTAATCCTTACTATTCAATTACTAGTTGTGAGGTAAGGCACAAAAAATGACTTGAAATTATTCCCTATTTGAAATATATGATATCTATAAAAGATATATAAATGAATAAATATCTCAGATCAAAATAAAAATCCATTTCCAGCTATTTTCTTTTTTTCCCCTCCATTCTGTTTTTTCCACAGGAAGAACTTCAATTTCAAACAAAGTAACTTGGAATGAAAACAGAAAGAAAGGGAAAGGAGTTTAAATGTGGAGAAACAGTGGTGTTTAAAATATAGGTCAATGTTAGTTGAATGTTAATTGGCTTTTCCCTCTCAAAAATGTTTCAAAAACTATTTTTTTCCTAATCTATTTCAAATTCATAGCCAAAGATGAACTCAAATTGACTGAATTACATTCTATAAAAGCAAATGATATAAAGTTAGAATTTGCTGAATCATAGATAATTTTCCCTAGTAAATAATGTAATAATTTGGGTTAAATATTACAGTTTAATGCCCAGTTATAATTCATATATAACATAAGAATACAAACTTTAGTAGGCATTACTTATAATTCAACTGCTATTCTATTAATGGGTCATTCACAAAGCTGTGAACATTTCACAACATAACTGGATACATTTCCTGTAATGTTAGCGTCATTGTATTAATATTATCATTCATAGACCTTTTTCTAACTCAGTATAATATTTATACAGCTTATATTGTTCAAGCATACTGTCAATATAAATGTAATAAATTTAAATTGACTGAAGTAAATAGTTATGAAAATGCATAAAAATACTAGAATTTATTTTGAATACTTAGGAACTTCTCACTTCAAAAATATATCTCAAATTTATAGTAGTAAAATCAATTTTGAAACTTTCAAAACTGGTATCTATAGTTGAATAGAATACCATACTCAAAGAAACAGAATTTGCTATTTTCTGCCCTCTGCTGTTCAACTTTTGTAATTAACTAGAACATAAACATTGTTTCTTAAGCACGGGTAAATTACGTTAAAACATGGAAGAAATAAAATTCTCCGTTGGTTGTTATTGTTGTTCCCTTTGCATGTGTTTAAATAGAAGTTTTAGAATTAGGAGTAGAAATGAGGTGTAAACTTTCATCTTCTGTTTCACTTACCCTTTGTTTCAACATGGCAAACAAAAGTTTTCCTTTTAAATCTGCTTTAAAATGCTTAAGGATATTATATGTGTTCCTCATTCTGCATAATTTTAATGTGTATTCCATAGTAAAAGGCTTTGCATAAAAGAAGGAAAGTCACTGTGTGTGGTGGAAGTCAGTTTTGAATGACTGGTAGAGCAAATTTTAGCTGATTTCATTATCAAAAGTGGATTATAAGTGTCAGTGCCATACTTCCTAGTGACAAAGTCTTACCGAAGTGGAGATCATTACCTTTCTTCTTATTGGTTGTCTGGAACTGTCAAATTCTAGGTCATCTGAAAGGCTTGGATGCAACTCAACAATAGAAAGGAAAGAAGGACCATGCTAGTTTTATCAGAAGGTGGCAACATTTACTTCCTGCACATGGAGCCCAGGTTCTAGACATGAAACATTATTGGCTACAACAAAGCAAATAAAGACATGGAAGAGAAAGCATAAGGATTTTAATCACTCAGGACTATAAATGAAAGTTTCAGTTCTTGGAGTGCCTGGGTGGCTGAGCTGGTAAGCTTCCGACTCGATTTTTGCTCAGGTGATGATCTCACAGTTGATGAGATGGAGCCCAAAGTCAGCACAGAGCCTGCTTGAGATTCTCTCTCTCCCACACTCTCCGACCCTGCTCCACTCATGCACACTGTCTCTCTCTCTCTCTCAAAATAAATAAACTTTAAAAAAAAAGGAGTTTCAGTTCTTTCATTAAGATAAAGAATATTAATATTAATAGTTATACCAGATTGAGACAACATTTTATTTTATGCAGCAAAATTATAAATCACTGATTCAGTAAGATCAATTACATAACCCAAACAGTGTATCTAAAGGTATACATGTTAGGCATTTTTACTTTCTAATTGTAATGAATTTAGAATGTCCAAAAATGAAAAGAAGTAGTTTTCATTTTAAGTTGTTAATGAGATTTGATTATATGGACTTTAATGAGTTTTACTCTAATAGATAACAAACCTATACCACTGTTTATTGGAAAACAGTGTTTCAATTCATCCATTAATTCCACAAACTATAATGGATTGCAGTATACCAAATAATGTGGTTGACACAGTGGATAAAAAGTGGACAACAGAAAAATTTTTCAAGAAGTTCCCATACTTCAGCCCCTGAGTGGCTCAGTCGGTTAAGCGTCTGACTTCGGCTCGGGTCATGATCTCATGGTCTGTGGGTTCAAGCCCCACATCTGGCCCTGTGCTGATGGCTGGCTCAGAGCCTGGTGCCTGTTTCAAATTCTGTGTCTCCCTCTCTCTCTGACCCTCCCCTGCTCATGCTGTCTCTCTCTCTCAGAAATAAATAAAACATTAAAAAAATTAAAAAAAAAAAGAAGTTCCCATACTTCATTCAAGTAATCATATAATTAAGACTATGTGAGAAGGGCAATAAAAAATGAAACAAGTAAGCATACGGTTAAGATAATATGGTGAGGCAAAGAAAAATCTATTATGCATAAAAAAGATAAAAATCTATTTTATTTTGGAGCTCAGAGAAGAGGACAGTCCCCAGTGGCTGACACCTGAATTGAGTCAAGTAGAGGTTAGGGAGGTGAATGGTAGGGGAAGTAGTGAGGGGAACATTTTTTAAATTTTAATTTCAGCTTTATTGAGTTATTATTGACAAAATAATAAGATGTTTAAAGTGTACAATGTGGTTACTTGATATATGTATACATAAATTAAAGGATTACACCATCAAGTTAATGTACTTATCACCTCACGTATTTTTTTTTTTTTTGAGAACATTTAAGTTCCACTTGGCTAGCACATTTCAGTTATAAAACAGTGTTAACAA